ATTTTCACTTCTACAATTTACTCAGCGAAACGCCTTGCCATTTGATATGTGTTCATATTTTATAACACTGATACTGTAGTGTTATAAAATATAAACACATATCAAATGTAGTCAGATCAACGATATATGTCTTTTATCCTTAGAATTAAAATCAATGTTTCTATAAAATGGTTACCATCAACTACTTCTTCAAATAATTAATGATAGATGATGAATGTAGATTACATTTTCAGGGCCAACACGATGCTTTTTACTGGTCAAACTATCCGTTTTTGTTAGATGCAGAATTAAAAACAAATTTATTGCAACTGGAGGCCCATATCCAAATGCAGGTATGCTTTAATATTTTAAATAGCATATTTATAGAATGTAGAAACATGCTATTTATGTATCTTTAAGTATGAAACAGGTAATTTATCTTCCAGCTCTACGCACTAATATTTCGTTTGTTTCTTTTAAAACTTACTTCTGATAGAATTGATTTTTGAAACAGAGTTGTATTTTCAGATCTCCATGTCAAATTCAGGAATTATGATATTGCCCTTCAATATCTCTCTGCAGCCACATCCATTCTTTGAATTATCTGTTCATCGCGATAATATTGTTGATGATGCAATGATTGCTCTGTTATCAGTGAAAGAAATAGAACTCAAAAAACCGTTGAAAGTATGCCTCAATCGATGTAATGTATATCAAACGATTTAAATTTAAGTGAGATTCAGTAGCAGTTTGTTATTATCAGGGTCTTGATTTTTTGGCTTTGTCTACGTGACATTCTTCTAATAAATTATCAGCTCATTTAATTGATGAGACAATAATATATGCTTCTTGGCATGGTGAAAGCTTCCTGAACTTTGTCTCACTCTGCTTCTGGAATAATTCCTCTTCCTACTACCTTCTGTTTGTAAATTTGTCGCAGTTTATTTCCTTACAGGTTCATTTTATCGGTGAAGAAGCAGACGATGCTGGTGGCGTGAAAAAAGAATTTTTCATGCTGTTATTTCAAGAACTACTTCAAGCAAAGTATGGCATAGAATAATTGAGTTGCAATTTTTATATAGTAAATTTTCGAAAGTAAAAAAATGATTGGAATTGTTATTTATATTTTTAATATTTATTTTTGATGTATTTTTCTACTGTGCTCTTTTTCTCACTTAACTGAACATGAATATTGTATCTGCTATGTAAGATCATCTGACATCCAAGTTTATGAATTCTAATTTGTTGTCATACTTTAGATATGGGATGTTCACAGAGAATGAGGAATCACATTTGATATGGTTCTCAGGAGTCGAAACAGATCCACTAAGCTTTAAACTTGTTGGAATGCTATGCGCTTTGGCTATTTACAACAGTGTTCTTGTTGATTTTCCATTTCCTTTGGCTTTGTATAAAAAAATTCTGGATGTTCCACTGGAGCTTGAAGATTTGAGTGAATTGAGTCCTATAGAAGGAAGGTGATTTTTTTTCCAGCTTAGAAAGTGATGGCACTCGTTGGAATGATATCTTTTTCATTATATAACTAAAATTTTTGTTAGCTTTATCTTCAACCTCTGCAGCATCATTTGATAACTTTTTCTTACTGTCGGTATTTTAGGTCATTGAGGAGTCTTCTAGATTATGAAGAAAATGATATCGAAGAAGTTTTTTGCCTGACATTTGTGATTTCTATCTCTTTATTGGGTGATAGCAAAGATATTGAACTGAAAACAAATGGTTCTGAAATACCAGTGAATCAAAAAAATAAGCATGAATTTGTCCAGGTTAATCATTTTTCCCTCTCTGTAGCTCTTAGCATTTAGTCTAACCAAACTTTTAGAATATGATTTATTCATTCGTTCAGCTTTGCAATTATCTTTTCTTTATCAAAGTTAAATTTTTTTATATGGTTGAAATTCAGATCATCCATTCATTTTGATCGGCCACATTTTCTCATAGAAGTTTTGCTTCTAATACAAGTAGATTTTCGAAAAAGTTTAGCTTTACATAAAGAAACGCTTGGAAGAAGGCTCAGAGGGTGAAATACGTCGTCAGATGCGTTCGTTTGCTGAAGGATTCGAAAGCGTGATGCAGTCAAAAATCATGAACTTCTTTCAACCGCAAGAGCTAATGGAAATGGTTGTTGGCAATGAAAACTATGATTGGAATCTGTTTCGGAAAGTGCGTTTTTTTCTTCCTGAACTTGAATTTTATTGAAAGATTATGGGCCAGTAATAATAAACTTTCCACTTCTTTGATTGTACAACTTTAAAAGACTTCATTTACACTTGGTCAGTAGATTTTTTCCTGATCAAGTTGCAAAACCGAAATGCAGTTTATATGTCTTTCTGTTGGTTATGATTACAATTATTGGTTTCAGAATACGGAATATAAAGGAATATATCACGCTCGACATGAGACAATTCTCTGTTTTTGGGAAGTTTTCTTTGAACTAAATATTGCTCAAAGAAAGAAATTCTTGCAGTTTTTAATGGGAAGCACGAGAATACCTATTCAGGTTTTTATATTTTGCATGAAGAGTGAATAGAGCTTGACAGTGATTGTTTTTTCTACTCAATCTTTGCCCCTATGGCTAAAAAACAAAATAAAACCCTTCTAATAACATTTATTGGTCAAATATTATTTTGTTGATGATATAGTGCATATAAGTTTAAATCATAACTTCTGTTTTATTCGTGAGTGAATTCCTTAAAATTCTGAAAAATTTTCCTTTGTAGGGTATGTCAGCAGTGAGAATGCGAATACAGCCATGTGATGAAAAAGCATTGCCAGTAGCACATACATGTTTCAACTTACTTGATTTGCCGAATATCACCGATCGAGAGGAGATGCGGCGTAGGTTGCTCATATGCTTGGAACACAGTCATGGTTTTAATCTTGTGTAACTATGCTTTGTATTGTTTCATTATTGATTTACGCGAATAAAAAGTATTTATGTTGGTACTCAATAAATCGAGAATTTGGTTGTGCTGGTCAGAAGTATTTGTCACTATTATTCACTTAGGCGTCCCCCTGAAGATCTTGAAATGTAATGCAGAATATTTATGCTCAAAAGAGGAAATTAATTAAGCAAAGGACATACCCTATGATTCGTGAATATGGAAACATGAATGCAATCCCAAGTTAAAATATAATACGTAAGGAAAAAATACTCGTCCAATCAAGAAATAGAACAATTCGGGTCAATATTTAGAAGCCAGATAAAAAAAGCATCGAATTCATCCCCTATGGAAATAAGTTGATTTCTTGTGAGACAAATGTTCTATAACATGAATGCACAGGACCGGTTACGCATAGTCAATTGAGGTGAAGGCTGGTAATGTCTCCCTGTGTTTCCTTTCCATCAAAATAACATCTTTTTACTGGTTGTCTAATGTCTTTGATCACCGATATTCAACATATTTCACTATTGTTTGATTCGGCAAATGATTCAAACTAATTTCATCAGCAAATTTAAAGAACATATGAGAAGTCATCATCAAATGTAATTGTCTTATTTATTGTATTGAAAAATATTCCCTCCCGTCAGGTGTTGTCATGTTAAACACATTGAACAGATGTGTATAAATTATACAACCTTTATATCGAACGAAATGAACAAAATTCTCTCGTTATATAATACATTTGCTGAAGTCAACAGCAATCACTGATTGCATTGATTCCTGGGCGATTTTTCATGATGAAAGGAGAAGTAATAACATTTTTTTTTTCACAATTTTATAGGTTTTAATGACACTCCACAAACTATATAATTAATGCAGTTTAAACTCAGAACAATATGTAGGGAATGACTTCATATAGAAAAAAAATATGCAGTTAGTTTCTACCGCATAGCACTTCCCAGTACAGTATGGGCAGTGCGAGAAAAATTTGCTTCAATGATTAACAGTTTAATTTCGTATTTCTTTTTTTTAGCGAATTAGGCATTAATGAGGTATGATTTTTATATGGATTTGTTTTTCCCCTCCCGTCCTGGAATTGCATCACCAATATTTCGATATTGCTAGCGCAAATGAGGTTTCAAATTCGAAATTAAAATATTCCGAGAACCGACTCTTGATCTGAAGATGAAACAATATTTTAAAAAAATTATGTTTTTTAAAAAAAATTATTTTTTTAAAAATAATAGCTGTCTGACGTAAGAACAAGCCTCAGCTTATACTGGAATTGATTCATGGAAGTCGAACTTAGGGCTTTCAGGAACAGGCATATTATATTGAATAAAAATTTAGGAATTTTAATTTTAAAAAATTCGATAAGATATATGAAAAGTTACTAACCCTTCCCGTTAATGATCGTTTAAAAATATTTGTTTTCGAAAACTCTGACATGAGATCCTGCTTCCGATATTTCTGTTTTCGTGAAGGAACAGTATTGCTTATTTCTGCAAAAAAAACTATGTAGTTTGAAACTGAATCAAGCATCACCAAATACTATGTATATAATGTGTAAACAACATGAAGATAACATTTAAAATCTAACCATCATCGCTTAAACTTGTTATGATGTTTGTATTACAATTAGATGTCGATCTGAAACTGGTATTCGTTTTATTCGATGGTGACGTTTGCTTTCCTGTAAAGATGCAAATGATTCCTTTTCATTTAACAAATGCAATAATTCAAGCAATTGTAAACATTTAGAAAAATATGGAGTGATTCTATCATTATAGTTTCATCCAATTATAATTGTTATGGATCATTTAGCACAGGGTGATGGTCCGCGCTTGAAAACTATCTTTCTTACCCAGTTTTACTTTAGAACCTGTTCAAAACACTAGCTTCCATCCTTTTCATTTAATGAACCAGTTCTGGCCAAATTAGAATGGGCTTATTATTCAATTTTGGCAGTCATATTTATGAATTTCTACCCTCTGGATGCAAATTCATTCGCTTAAAATCGTTTGCTAATTCTTCGTTATGTGTCGTCGTAAACATATTGTCTTCCTCTTCCACATCTGCAAAGTATCCGTTGGCATAACATTATTTTAACCTGATTTGTGAGAAAATGCAAAGTTTTTTTTGTCGGTGATCAGACCTTTCACAACAGTGCATGTGGAAAAAACAACTTGTAGCGTTTTCTTTCGAAATCTACGATGATGTTATTTATTAATTGTTACTAACACAGAATGAAGATAAATTCTAAAAATTGAAAGATTTTTTAAAAAATTAAAATTTAAAAAATAAATTTTCCAAAATATTACCATTGGTTTGATCCACAGGATGTTCTGCTGCAAGCAGTTGCTTTCTTTGCTCTTTTGATCGTTTTTCCGGAGCAGGATCATCTGCAAATCATCCATAAATAATTTTCACTTAGTATTTTATATGTTGTAAATATTAAATGTGATATTGTTAATATATTAGGGTCAACAACAAAAAAACAAAAGCAAGCATAGAAAAAACTTAGAGAAAATTTGTGAAAGCACAAATTCATAAATAGTTACATGATTTCTCTCTCCTCCGTTTCACTGTTGTTTTTGAAGCTTTTTTTACATCGATTGGTATGTTTCCGATATGTATCTAAAACAAATCTGTTTAAGTTTTTTTTTCCGTTAAAATTTATTAGTTAAACACTAATAAAATTCTAACGTAAAAAAGTTAAATATTCAAGTGTATATCGCAATACATGTTAATGGGTACTATGTATTTTTTCCGACGAAAAAAGCAATAAACTAACTCATGTATCACGGAAAATGACAACTTAAAAGTAACCATGAAATATTCTGAAAATGTACAAGACAAACCAATCACCGAGAATTTGAAATCGGCCCTTGCGATATTTTCAATTATACGACACATCTGAACTTTTACATTACGTGGTTCGTCACCCAGCAGCTCTACCTGAGCACAAATTGTAAACTTTTCACAATTTTTGATAATTTCATTGAAGTCATTCAATCTGTAAGCAAAATAGGGATATTTTCATTATGTTTTCTTAGACAGAGATATAGATGAAAAAGATTACAAAAAAACCAAAAACCAACGTATTTGGTATTAAGCATTTCATCTCCAACATTAAAAAGAAAGTGTAAACAATTTTCATATCTTCTCCGATCATCAAAGAGAGGATTTCAAGAAGATCACTGAACGACTCGCTGAAATATGGCGATGCGCTTTGGTATATAACGTCCACCGCTAAAATATTATTGACTGGATCAACGGGAACGTGCATATACCGTAAAGTAGAAAATTACGAAACTAATGATAGAGTAATTACCTTTCGATTACAATCCCTAATATTTCAGAAAGTAAATAAGATCATACCAGGTGTATAAATCATAGGGACATAAACCAGTTCGTCGGAAGTAACCTTGAGTAACCCAGGGCAGTATACTGGTCGTGGATAGGGCTGAAAATAAAGTGTTCGGATTTCAGAGTGTAACATTTTCAAACACCAATTTCTCAATAATTAATGCTAACATATAAACAATTACTTCATAATATTCCGAGCACGGAAATAGTTGGCGCCATTTCGTTCGCATTTCATCCGAGTTACACGAACCCTGTAATATCATCTTTAAAAAAAGTCCTGAGAAAATTTTCCAAAAGCAATGTAAACTTTTTTCATTATAAAAAGATAAAGAACTGTTATTTTGCTTCTTTTATAAAGAGATATTAAAATAAATCCGCAAAAAAATGAAATTAATTACACCTCGCTTTTTAGCACTTTTTTGTTTTCAGAGACTTTCGCAACTTCATATTCCATCCGTTGATTTTTAAATGATTTGAAAAAAACATCGGTATTATGTCTGCAAAAAATAAAAATTACCTGGGTGAAAGATAGAGATAATAATCGTGCCTCTGTTTTTTAAAAATCAGAAATGATCAATCTTACCGATCGATGTTTTTAAAATTATCTACGGAAGTACTTTTTTCCAGTTCTTCATACCATTCAAGATGATGAGTTGCTTGATAACGAAGAGGTGCTAAAACAATTACATGCAGTAATATTGAAAATACAACTGCTTGGCAGCAAAGATCGAAAAGATTCAGAGAATCATCAAAATTCATTGGTAACCAGAAGTGGATCATTGTTTATATTCTGATCAGCCTGATGATTTGAGAATATTTTGTTCTACATCAGACAGATAGATGAATAGATATAAGCTGACATCAACTGTACAAATAACTTACTTAACAAAGCTTCTTTGCTGAGGCTTCGTGATGGCGTGAAATCGAAATCATCCTCAAAAGTACTGCATAATGCATAATCGCGTTTTTCCATAACAAAATTACTCGGCACACATCCCTGAATAGATTCGCGAATGCGTGAGCAAAAACAAAAAAACTATATTTCCAGTGCTACTGTAGAAAATATTTTACTTTAAAATACAAATTTCGACCACCCGTTACTCGACCGGTGCCAGTCTGCGATACTTTTTCTCCTCGATAATTTTCACGAACGAGTACTGTCCGATAATTTTCAAACATGAAGTCATATTTGGGAAGGGCGGTTGTCCTGAAAATACCAATGTTCT